ACCATACCTCCCAGCTGGACATAGTACTATCAGCCGAGTATCAAGAATTCACCGCCGTGTTGGCAAACATCTCTATTTGCTATCCGAACATTTACGAGGTTTACTGCCAAACGTTCCTGCCCAAATGTGAAGATCGTTCTACGGTGAGCGCCTTTCCATTGCCTTTTCGTGTTTTTGCACTTACAATTAACCAATTCAGGATTTCTCATCAAAGTGTGGTCAAACACAGTGCTTTTGACTTTTGACAGGTTTTCCTGTGTAGAAGTGTCTGTGAGGAGGTAAACGCAGCATGCGGCCCACGAGGAGTCTCTCTGCCGTTTTCATGCGACGTTTTTCCTGCTGACGGAACCCAGAAGTGCCTGACATTAGGTAGGCTCTAAATACAAAGTAGTGTTGACAAGTTAAAGGCGTCACGTTGAACATGTGTCAAGTGCCTTACAACTAAAATTGTAATTCATTGCTCTAATTTAAATGGAGAATTAAGGAATTAAGTCACGGTTGTTTCTGAATATTATGACATTAATGGTGTTTGTTATAAATATTTTGGCTATCTTGGAACTGCTGCTATGAGTTAGGGCACGCCGGTTATACATGTCTTTGTTGTCTGACAACAAAAATGTAACTACTGACGCTACGGTAGGCGTCCAGAAAGCAATCTATGGTGGCAGACCGTAGATTTAATGGATCTTTTGTGTTGAAACTTGAAATTGATGTTTTTTCTGTGTTACAGCTTCATCTTCTTCATCTTCATGTGAGCCAGTACCATGGGAGTTCTGCAGTTCTTTCATAGATTATAACCACACTGGATTCCCCAACTCGTTTGATCATGCCTCCCAGCTGGACCTAGCATTATCAGCCGAGTATCAAGAATTCACCACCCTTTTGGCAAACCTCTCTATTTGCTACCCGAACATTTACCAGGTTTACTGTCCAGTGTTCCTACCCAAATGTGAAAATGGCTCTAAGGTAAGCGTCCCATGTCTCATTTACTTTTGCACTTCTGATTTCTGTAACCACTTCTTCGCATTTCCATCATCTCAAATCCACAGAAAGTGCCCTGTGTTTCTATAATTGCGACCTAACATGGTACTCTATGGGATTTTGACAGGTTTTCCTGTGTAGAAGTGTCTGTGAGGAGGTAAATGCAGCATGCGCCCCGCGAGGAGTGTCTCTGCCGTTTTCATGCGACGCTTTTCCTGCTGATGGAACTCAGGAGTGTCTGACCATAGGTAAGCCAGGAATCGTAGAATATTGTATATTGACAAGCTTAAGGCGTGACGTTGAAAACGTGCCATATCCTTTACAACTACAATTGACATTTAGTAGTAATTACTTACTATTATATGTAGCCTGGGTGCCAGACCCATAGTACACTGCTCACTGAGATACTTTGTGTCCAATGAGTCTGGTACCCAGGCTACTATTAAGAAAAGGGAAATAATGGAATTTAGTCTAGATTTTTGGCCGTATTTGTTAGATATATTTTGGCTTGTTAAAAGTATTTTGTATTACTTTTCAGCATCATCAACATGTGACCCAATCCCATGGAATTCTGCTCTTCCTACATTGACTATGACTACACTGGATTCCCCAACGCTTTTTAACCATACGTCTCAGGTTGACGTCTCAATATCACCCGAGTTCCAAGGTTTCAACGCCCTGGTACCAAACATCTCTATGTGCTACACGAACATTTACCAGCTTTACTGCTCAATGTTTCTGCCCAAATGTGAAAATGGCTCTAGGGTGAGCATTATCTCATTGCCTCTTCGTGTTTGCCATTGTGAGTTTAGTAACCACTCCATCTTTTCCTGCCTTCTCAAATCTAGTTCAGTATATCAGTATATGACTCGGCTAACACAGTTATCTATTGACAGGTTTTCCTGTGTAGAAGTGTCTGTGAGGAGGTAAACGCAGCATGCGGCCCGCGAGGAGTGTCTCTACCGTTTTCATGCGACGTCTTTCCTGCTGATGGAACCCAGGAGTGTCTGACATTAGGTAGTGTCATTCAACAAAGTCAATTTATACTAAAAAATTAGATTTTCTGGTCTGACATTAGTAATTTCCGACATCGATATTCAGCTGCTGAATATATCATGACCAAAGTTATTTTGTTAATCATTGTCTCCGCAGATGCACCGACGTGTCAGCCAATACCTTACGACCGTTGTAGGAACATGCTCTACTCGGAAACGTCGTTCACTCCTGGAGTGCCGGTTGAAGCTGCAATTGCAGGTGCAGAGTCGTTCTTCGCAACATCGGACAGCATTGCTGGTTGCCATACGGACTTAGAGGCGTTCGTGTGCTCATACCTGTTTCCACCGTGCACGTCTAGTGGAACTAGGTGAGCTCTTGATACTACACTCACTAAATAATGTTTTAAAACAGGCGTGCCCGCTCAATGACATATGATGACGGCTGTAAGTACAATTGCAGGGAAACGGCGGCTACCACATGTATTTGATGTTGATTCCATGATACAGTTGCATAAATGCATGATACAATAATTCTGAATCATCAATTTCCAAAACTTGGACTGATTAGTTTTGATGGATGTGGATTATTTATGCATTTGAAAATATAACTTAATTAGAAAATTTGACGCACAAAAACCACATACTGTAAAAAAACCCTACATACTGTTTCTTTTTGCTTCTTTAGATACCCCTGTGCCTCCCTCTGCAACGAGGTAAATGACGCTTGTAAGGACGCAGCCAACGCAAGCGGAGTTGCCTATGACCCAGGTCTTTGTGACAGACTGCCACCAGGCAGCTATGATGAGGACTGCTTTGTACCTCAAGGTAAACAAACATTTATGATTGTCATGGAAGTTAATCTGTGTTGGTAGTAGTCATTTTTTGATGCTAAAAGTTGATTCCAACACAAGATGTACAGAATGATAGAGTTTTCAACGGTCACTGATGCCTTCATCAGAGTAATTTACGTTCGTTATCGTTAATCGATGTGAATGTTATGATCAGTGTCCTCTTTAAATGAATCGGGATTACCTTATGCTACATATAGAAAAATATGGGATTGATTTTTAGTTTTATCTTGATATAATTTTAGTATACTGATAAAACATTGTTGCTTAGGAAGTGTATAATACAGTGACTAATGATCGAATGTTTTGGCAATGCTTTCGCAGGAAGGTCAGAGTGCGACCCAATACCTTTCGGCCGCTGTCAAAACATGCCCTACGCCGACACGTCCTTCCCGAACTGGTTAGGGTGGCAGGGACCAACAGATGCCATCGGAAACGCAACAGCGATATTTGCAGCCCTTGACCAGATTTCTGATTGCCACAAGGACTTGGAGTTCTTTTTGTGTTCACTGTATTTCCCATCGTGCACTTCGACAGGAGTCAAGTAAGTCACACTAGCGGTCTAGTAAAAGACATCATCTACATATTTATGTCTGTAAAAATAATGTCTATTAGACTTACCAAGTCTGATTATGTTTGAGAATAGGACATGTTTGAATTATTTATGATTCTTCGTCTTTTGTTCAGAAATGACATTTCTCTTAAACGAGTTGGTAAAGATAAAGCCTCATATTGGTTACTTCTCTATGTATACCTGCCCATTGCGTAGCCAATGGATTCTCTGCTTGTGCTTATGTAAAAAAAGGGATATAATATTCCCTCTCTTCATCCCCCACAGATTCCCATGCCGATCTCTCTGCGATGAGATCAATAACGCATGTGCACTACGCGCCCTTGCCATTGGCATTCCATGGGACACCGCCGGCTGTGTTACCCTGCCAGTTAGCAGCTATCAGGAAGGATGCATCGCTCCTAAATGTGTGACACTAGCAGAATTCATTACATTTGGCCATTGATACAGTTTGTAGTTCATATTCCCGTGCATGCATTGGAAAAACAGTTTAATAATTGTTTAAAACAGAACCTCGTACAAAGCTAAAAGAACCTTATGCACATTGAATTTTGTAACAGTAATGTTTTATTAAAACATGTGCAGCAACGTGCGATGGCTGGCCGTACGAATGTTACGGATCTCCAGGAAGCTGTGTGGGTGCTTGGGAGTTCTGCGATGGAAACGGCTTCTGTCCCTACAATGACGACGAATTAGCCTGCAGCAACTGTAAGTACCTGTAACTTCAAGCAGTGAAATTGAACATCGATTTGCTTTGCAACGCCCTATAACCTAGTAACTGTATAACCATAATGTAGGATGGTAAAAGGTGAAACATATGTCTAAGAAAGAAACCAAAGTCCCAGAGACCTTTAAGATTTAAAGTGACAAAGGAAAGAAGTCATGCAATTTTGTTATGTTGCTAGGACCGATATAATTGCATTATTTTTATTCCATGGCCAGACACCTGCATGCCTATTGAACTCGAGTACTGCCAAGGCGAGGTTCCTTACGACAGAACGATTCTCCCCAACTACTTTGGACAAGAGAGCACAATGATGATTGAAGAGTCCGACATACACAGGAATGTGTCTCTTCTGGCTGATACGTCTTGCCATGAATACGTCAAATACGTCTACTGTCATATGGTAATTTTATTCTGTTTACTACAGACAATGTTGCACATATTACAGTCATGACTGTGCTCTAAAAATTTCTCAGTTCTAACCTTAACTTGGATTATAAATCTATCAATCGTTATTGAATTATACAACGATTATGCATAAGATGAAATTGTATTCTGCATACTATTACATGTATGTACATTAAATTCGCAAATGTGGTACACACTGTATCGGCAAATAAAAGCTATGTAAAAGCTTGTATCAAGTTTCATCAACTACCCTATAACAGGTGGTTCCTGAGTGTGTTATGGACGGTGTACGAGGCCAGCCCCTATGTCGCAGCCTGTGTGAGGAGATCAGACAGACTTGTGCAGAGGAGATAAAGGAGATTGGGTTCCAGTTTGAGAAGAGCACCTGTGATCTGATCTTTCCGGACTCTGTCCAGAATGATACATGCAAGCTAGCAAAAGGTACTATGGGGCTTACGTAATATAAAATGTTATGAGTTCTAGCCTTATCTTATCTTATATTTGATAGAATTTTCATGTTACAAGTCTTTACATAGATTGATAAATTGATTACATAGATTGTCCATTTTACAGTCTCATATGTAATAAGGCCTTTGCATCATCTTTTGTAGAATTTAACTGTACATTTGACGATGATACGTGTGAATGGATGGCTGGCAACAACAGCCAGGCCGTAATGCTTCAACCAGCATCGGAATCTAACTCTGGTGAGTGTTAAATCAATATCTATTTTGTTTATTTGTGCTTTACGGAACTGTTGATTATTATAATGGTTTAATTTTAAGTTTATACTCTGTGTTCGACCGGTAAACCATTTCTTGTTGATTAACATTGATGAGCGTTGCTAAATGACATATCTAAATGCATATGAAGGACTCAAGCATATTTCCTACATAATCCTGTGAGAATAGAATACGTCACATATAGTAAATTGAATGGAAATGCGATTAACTAAACGTTTCTAACTTCAAAATAATCTTTTAAATCTGATTATTGAATTGTGTTAATTTTTTAAAATTTATTATTTATTTATTTATTGGTTTATTTGTATCAAAAACAACATATCTCGCAGCCTTGAATGCAGGGCTGAATTCCGATGTTTGTTTAGAACATAAATCGTTCATGAATAGTAGGGTAATACAAATTACAATCATGTCGGAATCTACAGAGTGATATAATATCACTTTGGTTCAACGAATTTAGATATTTGCAAATAATATTCAAATAGGCAAATATGCATCACTGAATGGAGCCTCGGCAAAACTAACAAGTCCAACGATGTACACGGACAACAAATGCCTGAGGATGAGGTATCTCGTGAGAGGTGACGGCAGCAGGTTAACAGTGTACGTGACGGGACCGGACGGCAATAGCTTCAGCACCTGGCGGCAGTCATCTACTTATGTACGGGTAGGGCGGGAAGAGGAGGAGGAGGAGGAAGACGACGAGGACGAGGAGGAAGAGGAGGAATGGCAATCCATCAATCTGAATATAAACAAAGGGTGGCCTTGGTTTAAGGTAATTCTAATATTTCATTTTCAAATTAACAAATCAACTTAGAATTAGGCTTTGAAGAAATGAAAACGTTTTTGTTGATATACTCTATGGTGGAACTTTTAACTTCTTCTTGTCGGAAGCATTTTAAATGTAGTAGTAGAAGTAGAAGAATTAGTTAAACGTATTATTTCGTTACAGGTGTCTCTGGACGCGTATGTAGCCGCCGACGGAGAGGTAGGGGTGGACGATGTTACTCTCTCCGACGGATCATGTAAAACAGAAGAAGCAGGTAAGCAGTAGATTACACTAAATAGAGTTCTATTGTTTTAAGTATATTGAATTTTGAAGGATATTTAATATGTAAACTATTTCTTTCTTACGCATAAGAGAGTGCGTAACAACATGGTGTCTTAATCAAACTGCATTTCAGTTTCTCCCGGATGCGAGCCAATGAAGTTCGAAAGTTGCCTGGACATGCCTTACAATTTCACCACCTATCCGAATGCTCTCGGCTGGGACAGAGATCTCGCCCTTTCCCTCGGCCCTCACACCTTCCAGGCGTTTGGCCAGATCGCGGACTGCCATCGTGATCTGCAGTTCTACCTCTGCTCCTTCATCTTCCCTGAATGTACACCGTTTGGAATGAGGTAAGTTGAATTCAGATATTCTTAGCTGTAACATCCTTTTACTCTGGGAATAGTTACGCAAGAGCTATCTCATGTCAACGAAAAATCACTCAACCCTTTTCCAAATCAATATTTCTTCCGTACGCTTTATAATGGTGTGATATTACGACATGAAAATGGTTCCACCAACTGCAAAGTATCGATAATTACTTCCTTTCCTGTCTTTCACAGGCTTCCATGTCGCTCTTTCTGTGAGAGTGTCAGTGAGGCTTGCGCAGCAAGAGCGAATGCCGCCGGCCTGACATGGGACCCCAATGGCTGCCAAAGCTTACCGGATGATGAGCCGTACTGTTCTGTACCAAAAGGTGAGCTTATATTTCCCTTAAATGAGTTTTCTTCTTCTTAATGATCTCAACGTACCCTTAACGAGTACTGAGTACTTGCCATTCAACACATGGCACCTTTTATATTCCATTAGATAATACACTTTTAGACATTTATTTACCAGTTTACTGAACTTTTGTTTGATCTGACAAGAAATTATTGCTTAATCAACCATTCTTGCACATGGTAAGCATATTAATGATTTTTGTTTGTCTCAATTTGTCGACTAATTTCATCTGGCACAGGACAGATTGTTTTCAATTTACGAGTGTCCAGTTATATTTATAAGAACTTGACTATGCCTTGCCTTGCCTTATTCATTATTCAGTACAATGTGAGCCCATCAACATCGGAATGTGCAGAAATGTTGTGCCATACAACACCACAGCGTTCCCCAACCTGCTGGGCCATGTTTCCCAGCAGTCTTTCCTTACTGACCAGGACAGTGTCAACGTAATCACCGCTCTGATGAACAGCGGCTGTCATCCCGATGTAGAATTCGCCGTCTGCTCTGCACTGGTGCCAAACTGTATCGACTCAATGCTGGTAAATAAATATCTAAACCAGGAGTTTATGTGTTGATGCCACTTATTGTCGAAATATTCTCATGCCTGCCTGCGATATATATATATATATATATATGTATGCGCAAAAAATAAGTTATTCACCGAGTTACTCTGGTATGAAAGACGATATGGTTAGAGTTTATTACTATCTACTCCTCTTTGGACGTAGATGGCTGGAGATGTATACAGTCTATCATTGAATAAATTGCATGTAATTGAGTAAACTGAAGGAGCTTAAAGAGCTCGCGAGGCAGAAAAAAGATGAAGAAAGACAAAATACTGTAGAACGGCTGTATGTTCAGAACGCAGTGAATAATGCTGCTGATGATGAATTGCTCTCTCATTCTCTCTTTAAATAGATATGTTTAGATAGAGGGGGGATGCCCTTAGTATAAAGACATTAAAGACAGCGATCGTACGTAGTTTTTCAAAAAATAAACAGAGCAATGTACTTATAGATATTGAGATGTCTCATTTTTCGTTCTCTTGTACGCAGATAACTCCTTGTAGGGACTTCTGCAATGATATCAGGGCAAGTTGCGAACAGGTCCTGGTGGACATGGGACAGCCCTGGCCATTCAACTGTAACAGTTTTAATGCTCGAACCCGATGTATCTCACCGTATCCAGGTAAGTATCTATTTGATTATTATTTCTTTAAACCGATGAAAAATTATATATAGTAATACCACCCATTCCAGCATTCCATCAATCCCAAGGTGCATAGAACAATATAGGCTAGGTATGTGTAGCCTCCTTTTCAGGCGTTCCCGGACCGGCAG